CTTGAAGATTCAAAATTCTTCCTTTGATTTCTCTCAAGATCAAATTCTCCTAACTCTGTAGAATAAAGTTTTATTCCGTGCTCATTTATAGCCATTCGGATAAAACGTATTCAAATGCAAATACTGCCACTTTCCATGTCGGATTTCTGTACATTGACCTCTAGAGACTACAATTTTCTAGGCGTTGTATGGCAATGTCAAGGAAATCAAAATGTTTCATCATTTTCAGGTTTCACAGGGAATTTAATATTTCTTTGTTGAATAATTTGAACAGAAAGGAAGAATAATCCATATTGTTCTCATTTTTGAATATATAACTGAAAATACATGTATTGTAGACAACAAAAAAGGAAAAAAATAGGTACATTGAGAAATATTTTCAATTCAGAATGATTATTTCTAATGAAAGTCACGTGCGAAGAGAAATCCTAAAGTAGAATTTCTTTCCTAGATGTCCATCCTCCTTACAAGAAAACCAGATGTTTGTATAAAGAGAATTTTGTATAGGAAAATTACATGGACACGACAATATACACATTTTCACAGCTTCGTTTCTCTCAAGTACAAAAGAAATTTATGAAGGACCCTCAGACACAGAATTAGAACTATATGCTCAGAAGAAGTAATTGAAGATTATTTAGGCATTGTATATGATGCCTTGAGTAAAAATAGCTATGCCGACAAATTTATTAAGGAACACACCACAAAGAGGCCTCTTTGTATATGAGTGCACTTCAAGGGTGACACACCAAATGAAATAATTGGGAAGAGATTAAGAAAACCAATTCAAAGAACTTTTAATGCTGGCAAACCACACGTGTTATTCTCTACACGATCGATTGTGATTCCTCGGCTGAAAGATAAGGTACCTTTACTAGGAAACCACTTCAAATTGTATCTACCAATTCAACTACGCTTGTGGTGGAGTGAGTTATATTGGCCGTTGCTCTAGGAACTTGATTTTTCGTGCTCACTTGAGAACATCTCCATATATGGCTAAGTAAAGGTATAGTGAAGACCATTGATAAAATAATAATAATTTTTCCTTCACGTTCCCAGTGGAACATAGGGCTCCAAGCTAGTGGCTTGAAGTTTCTGTAGCAGTGTTCATTTTTAATTTTACAGGATGGGGTTGCTAGCCTCATGCCCAACCTTTCCTCTTTACCAGCATTATTTCTGGCTCGGTGAGGTAAAGGAGTGCGCCGGCCGGGGATCGAACCCCGGACCATATGCATGGTCGGTGAGCGTCCTAACCGCTATACCACCGACGCACGGTGGTATTACGGTTTGATATTGGACTATCTGGTGCAAACCGGCTACAAAGCCAGCCAGAGTTAAAGAATCCTTTTCTGTCATCTACCGGGTGCTAAATAAATTGCAAAAAACATCGAAACACTGCATGCTCCAAACAGCAGCGAATATTGCAATTCGGGTGAAACAAGCAGTGCTTTGTGTTCAGATGAAGCAGGTTCAGCCCTACTACTGTCCTGGCCGGCCCTCAATAGAGACTATAAATTCATTTATTCTTATGTTGATGCTAATGAACTGTAATCCATTGATATTATTATTATTGATTCGATGTCATTTAAACAACATTAATGCTGTTCATAACACTAATTCATTCATTCGTTCACAATAATGTATATATAACTGTAGAGCCTGATGATGAAGGGGTCATCGAAACGAGTATTCTTTGTTCAGTAATCATTCTTTTGAAAATTTTAATGGACATTTTTAAATCAGCTGGCCGATTGTATTCATAGCTTTTTGTTGCACAAGTAGTTTACACAATGTTCAGCCTAGTCAGTTGCATAATGTATTCTCCTCATCCAAAACATTTAAGTTGAATAGTAAGTAGTATAAAGTATAGCATGTGACGGAATGATGTTCTTTTTGAAGACTAGAATAATATTTCTTAATGAGATTTTCATTTTATCGCCGAGGAAAAAGCGCAGCGGTAGGTTGAGAGCTACTTGGGTGTATGTTCGTGAATACACTAAGCAACCAATGGACATGATGGAATGATTCAAACATAAAGATAATAAAAGAAAGTGTTATATGCGTTGTGTTCCATGGAAATTCAAGTAGTCCGCCAAAGCACATTATCACTTTTCTTATTATTCCTTAGAAGTGCTTTATAGCACTCAGAGGAAGAAGTAAACAAGCCAAATGAGTTGAAAAAAGACCACTACAAAACATTGAAGCACACTGGGAAATTTCTTGTCTTTCAAAGTGCTTAGGTTATATCCGCTTTTCAAATCTTCTTTATTGAAATCTATTGTGTAGATTTCTTGATATATATATGGAAGAAATTAACTTTTATTACTTTTAATTATCACTATCGCTACTATCATTATTTATTTTATTTTTACATTTCCTGACTAATTTATCCCCCGGGTAATTATTAAGTTTCAAGGCTTCTTTAATAATAACAATAACATTTATTAAAAATAATAGTGATAATAATAGTAATGATAATAATAATGACGACACCAACAATAACGAAATCGAAATCATCAGCAGTAATTCCATACAAGGAAGGAACCTCAGAAATCACCTCACGCAGAATTCTTAACAAGGCAGGCAGAAAAAAAAGTGGCTGGCATTCAATCACCCACAAATTCAATTAGAAATAAGCTTTTTCGGTTAAAGGATCCTGTGGAGCCTTTTTTTCCTTCACGTTCCTAGTGGAACATAGGGCCTCAAGCTAGTGGCTTGAAGTTTCTGAAGCAGTGTTGCTTGCCTCACGCCCAACCTTTCTTCTTTACTAGCATTATTTCTGGCACAGCGAGTGTAAAGGATCGCGTTGGCTGGGGATCGAACTTCGGACCATGTGCATAGTCGGCGTGCGTCCTAACCGCTTTACAACTGACGCACGCCTTTTAAACAAAACAATTTAGTTTATTTAATAATCCGCCTGCAGTTATTGTCAGGTCAAATACATAGGTCAAACTAGTAGAACAGGGTCAGTTAGTCGGACTAGATGAACATAAAGACCGAGCATAATCTAGATTGGTTGACGCAAATAACATAAGAAATCTAGAGAATAGTTAAGCAATACCACTCACTGCATGCAATTGCGCATAACCATGCAATAGGTTGGATGGGATAAGATGACAGTTTTAAAATCTAAAGAAACAGGGTGGAGGGAGAGATTGATAACAGACGCTTTGTTTATCAAATCAACTCAGAGAGAATACGTGTAATGGGAATGATTCAACAACTGTCCCAGACGGATATCTGGAAATTTCTACTACCCCTACGACGAGAAATAGGAGAGGACATAGGAAACTATAAAGCTCAATTTTCGAAGTCGTGTGATTATAATTGATGAAATGATTATGAACAATAAATTTTGTTCGAAACTGTGTCATCCAGTAAATAATACTGTTTCATCACTGTGTGGTACAAACTAATATGGAATTACTTACTACCACAGTACCCAAGTTTTACACATATATTGAGAAAGCATATCTTCTGTACCTGTAAAACAGAAGCTTTTTCATATAGGAATGAAATTTAGAAGTGAAGTAGTAACAAAAAGGTTAAGAAAATCAATTAAACAAAACAACTTAAAATGCCGCTAAATTGAAGCGCATGTTTGAAATACTTACGGCTGTGATTTTGTAACTGAAAGACATAAAGAAACTAGTCACCCCCTCCTTATATTCGCCACTCAAAAGGCTCATGAGCAGCCAGTTATATCGACCGTTGGCAACCGTTGGAACTTGATTTTTCACGCTTGAGGACATCTTTCAGTGTGTTAAAATAAAAGTAAAGTAAGAAGCAATAACTATTCAATATTGTTACAAAGAGACACTGACAAATCTTCTATCACCAATCGTGTACTCAAATTGTTGATAGTGTCTTAGTATCAGATATGTCGAATAACAAAGAATTAATAGCTCTACGTATAATTAAACCAAAAGTCAGCGTACGTTATGGTGATGATACATTTGTAATAATTAAAAGGAATGTGATTTGAAATAAAAATAATCAGCAACATATTTGAAGAGATCAACGTAAGAAGAATCAGACCACAAAATCCCATTTTGGGATGTCTTAATTAGGATAACCAACACAGGAAATTTAGAAACACAAGTATATAGAAAATCAACGCGCACAGATCAAATACTCAACTATGCGAGCAATAACCCGATTACTCACAAAAGAAACTGTGTGCAAATATTGTTTAAAAGTATTCAACCACACTGTAGCACTTCAGCGTTGGAAAGAATGGAATAAAAATACCTACAAACGGTCTTAAAAAAGAATGAATATCTGCACAATTGCATCAAAAAGTGTTTTAAATCGAATCACAACACCAACAAGGAACCATCATCAAAGACCACAAGAAAATTCATCCAACCAAACATATAATAAATATCTCTGAAATAACAGCTAGAATATTGAGACCGTTTGAAACAGGTATAGCACACAAGCCAGTTGAATCACTTCATTCATGGATATTGTGGAAACCGAAGGATCCAACACAAAAAGAAGATAAAATTAATACCATTTACAACATAAATTGTTTGTGGACTGTAGAAGAAAATACACCGGCCAAAAGGGGCGTCCCCTTCGAATTAGAATCCGGTAACTCAAATCAGTTGTAATTGCCTACAGATAATTATGAGCATCAGTTTGATCAAGATAATGTCGAAAATTTGGACAGAGGAAACAGCGAAATAAATATTAAATTTAAATGAAAACGCCAACGTCACTCAAACTTCAAAACTCAAGCATGGAGCCTTATGTTCCACTGGGGATGCAAAATATTCAGATAAAAATATTACCTGGTAATTGTGTATTTTAAATAAACTGACTAACGAAATCTGGACTGCTTTTCCCGTTTATTTTTCAAGGTTATGTGGAATGTGTTTCTAGGAAACACGTGCAAAACGGATTAAATTTTCAGTTTGAACTTTCAGTTGCTCCTTGTTTCATTGTACAGACAATTAATTTTTTTTATTATTGTACCTGTTTTTTTAACCCTTTAGGTTTCCAGACTGGGTCAACGTTTGTCTTGGAGTGCATCCTATTCAGGTGAATGCCCTTAAATGTTTTGTTTTGTGTTATACAGTTTTAGCTGAATTCAGTCGTTTTGTTATTGAAGACTAATGCAACGTTCGCATTACAAACAGCTAAAATGTTTTTGTAATAATAGTTCAGTGAGCGACCACAAACCTCTTATTAAATCATACTGTGAATATTATAAACATGATTATTATTATAAAAGTTGGTGTATTTTCCACTGAATAGAAAAATATAACGATATTGTTGGATTCACTAAAGTGCCCCGGTGGCACAGCGGTTAGGACTCTCGTCGACCATCCACATGGTTAGGGGTTTGACCCCCTGCCGACGCACACCTGATATTTATGGCTGGCCTGCAAAATTAGGGCTACCGATATTACATGCTGAAAATTTCATACTTGTACCGAAAATACGCTGTGGAATCAAGCTGTATTCAAAAATAAAAATAATATAAAAATAAAATAAATATTTAACGCTACTGATAGCTTCACAAAGTGGTGATATTAAACCAAAATCTACAACATCTCAGCTTGTATACGCTGACTCAATCATAGTTTCTTAGAAGGAGGTGAATTTACTGCTGCCCAATAGGTAATTTGGTAATGGTACCTGCCAATAATTCCCAAAACCAGGATGAAACAGCTGTTTAGTACTCTTTAGTTTTCAATGGTTCTCTAACTGTTATCAATCCATGATCAACTCGTAAAAATGGTGACAGTGCTCACAAAAAATGCTTAGAATATAATGTTATATAAGTTGAACGGAATTCAAAAGGAATAATGATCAGAAGAAAAGAACACGTGGCAAGCCTCTATTTGGTCACTGAAGAATCCAGTGAGACTAGAACAGCTTGAAATATCATAAGCCATAGGCCTACAGGCTACAGAACTAGGCGACAGAAAGGATCTATTTTCACAATATTGAAATCATCTAGAAAACTTCGCAACTCACACAAAAAGGTCCCAGAGCATCAGAAAGCATTTTATATCATGAGTAGAATGCGAACCGTCCGAATGCGAATGACGGTTTTGAACAGAATTTGACCTGATGCCATTCCCTCCTCCCTTTGAAATTATAAACTCCACAGAAATAGCAATTTCCTTATGCAAACACACATACTGTGCTTGTAATTTCATACAATTTTAAAATCTAACAAACTACACATATATTAGTTTCTTTATTAGATGTATCACAAAGTGATGAAACAGTATTATTTAGTGGATGAGAAAGTTTTGAACAAAATTTATTGTTCATAATCATTTCATCAATTATAATCACACGACTTCGAAACTCGAGTTCTATAGTTTTCTTTGTCCTCTCCTATTTCTCGTCGTAGGGGTAGTAGAAATTTCCAGATATCCGTCTGAGACAGGTGTTGAATCATTCCCATTACACGTATTCTCTCTGAGTTGATTTGATAAACAAAGCGTCTGTTATCAATCTCTCCCTCCACCCTGTTTCTTTAGATTTTAAAACTGTCATCTTATCCCATCCAGCCTATTGTATGGTTGTGTGTAATTGTATGTGGTGTAGTGCTATAGCTGGGCTATTCTTTGGATTTCTTGTGTTATTTGGGTCAACCAATCTAGATTTTGCTAGATTTCTATGCTCCACTCCCGATCATCCCGTCATAAGTCAGTAAAAATAAGATTGGTGAAATGTTTAAGTGACAGAGCCCAAAAACTAAGTAGTACCATGGAAAATCGAAGAGAGGTAGGGATAAACATAATAGAAGCTTTGAAACTTAATAAATACCCGGATAAATTAGTCAGGTCAGATACATGAGACAAAGTTGTAGAACAGGGTCAGTCAGTCAGACTATCCGAACATAAAAACCCGAAAGCAAAATCAAGGTTATTATATTATTATTATTGCTCCCTTGGGTTCCAAGTGGAACATAGGGCTTCAACTGCACGTCTCCATTTTCTTCTGTCTTCTGCTATACTTTTCGCCTGCATCCATGTTAGTTTATATTCTTTCGGCTCCTCTTCACACGATCTCCTCCATGTCACCCTTGGACGTCCCACACGCCGCTTCCCTTTCGGGTTCCACTCGAGGGCTTGACGCGCGATGTCACCCAGCGGTGTCCTCAGCGAGTGTCCGATCCATCTCCACTTTCTCCTGCATATTTGTTGGGCGATTGGTTCTTGCTTTGTTTGTTCCCATAATTCCTTGTTGGTGATTCTTTCCGGCCATCTGATCTTCAGTATTGAGCGAAGACAGTTGTTAATAAAGGTCTGCAGCCTTTTGGAAATATTCTTTGTGACCCGCCAAGTTTCTGATCCGTATAGAAGAACTGACTTTACGTTTGTATTGAAAATCCGAATTTTGTTGGTGATGCTGAGTGACGAAGATTTCCAGATTGATTTCAGGCTGATGAATGTGTTTCTCGCCTTCCCGATTCTCGATTTGACATCCTCGTCCGCTCCTCCTGTAGTTGAGACAATGCTCCCTAGATAAGTGAATGAAGTAACCTCTTTCAAATCCCTCCCGTTGATGGTGATTGACGTTGGATGTTGTTGCTGTTGTTGGTTGGTTATTTTCATAACCTCCGTCTTGTCTATGTTTACCTGGAGTCCTGTCTTCACTGGTGCTTCTTCGACCAGTTTGTCGGTTTTCGCTTGTAAGTCTTCGATTGTGTGTGACATCAAACATAAGTCATCCGCGAAATCCAGGTCTTCTAGGTTCTTCACGTCGGTCCAGGATATTCCTGTCTTCTCGTTTCCCACTGTCTGACGCATAATCCAGTCCACCACAATTAGGAATATCATTGGTGATAATAAGCACCCTTGTCTGACTCCTGTGTTTACTCCAAACGCCTCGCTGAGTTTTCCGTTGTGGATCACTTGACATTTGCCGTTGTCGTACAGCTGTTGAATAAGGTTGATGAATATTTGGGGTACGCCATAGTACTCGAGTAATTTCCAAATTACTTCACGATCAACGCTGTCGAAGGCCTTCTCAAAGTCTATAAAGTTGAGGTAGAGGTTTGATTGCCATTCCATGCTTTGTTCTGATGATGATGCGTAGAGTTGCAATTTGGTCAGTACATGATTTGCCTTTCCTGAATCCAGCTTGTTCTGGTCGGAGTTCTGTCTCCAGTGCGTCCTTTAATCTCTCCAGGATGATGCGACTCAGGATTTTACTTGGCGTCGATAGGAGCATGATTCCTCGCCAGTTCTTGCAGAGTGAGGCGTAAGTCGCCCTTCTTTGGTAGTTTCACGAGGTAACCTTTCCTCCAGTCAGTAGGCACCTTTCCCTCCTTCCAGACCTTTTGCAATAATGGAGTCAGCATGTCTGCTGTAGTCTCTGGGTCGGCTTTCAGTGCTTCAGGGGGTATTCCATCTGGTCCGGCTGCTTTTCCAGCTTTCAGAAGCTTGATTGCATTCAAGACTTCAGCTCTCGTTGGAGGATTGGTGTCAACTTGCAGTTGTGTGCGCGCTGTTGTTGGTATTTCTGGACGGGTTGCAGGTGATGGTCGGTTCAAGAGTCCTTTGAAGTGATCCGCCCATTGTTTAATCTGTTTTTCTTCCTTGGTAATGGGTTCCCTTGGCTGTCTTTTATAGGTTTCGCTTGTGTTGGTCTCTTCCCGGATAGAGATTTGGTTATCTGATATAGTGTCCTCAGGTCCCTTTTGCCTGCTGCCTTTTCAGCTTCAGTGGCAGGTTGTCGTAGAATCGTCTTTTGTCCTTCCTAGCACTCTTCTTCACTTCTTTGTCCAGTGCTGTGTAAGTTGAGCTCATCGTCTCCTTCTCCTGTCCGTCCTTGCATTGAATCATTTTCTCTTTCACCATTCTCCTCTCTTCTATTAATTTCCAAGTGTCCGTTGAGAGCCATTCCTTGTCTTGTCTCTTCTTTCTTCCTAGAACCGTTGAACACGTTTCGTTGAGAATCGCCTTCAGAGACTTCCAATGTTCTTCCACGCATGATTCTTCAGTGATGTCGCGTAGTGTTTCCTGCTTTGCTCTGACAGTTGCAGTGAAGGTGTCTTTTGTGGTTGTGTCCTTCAGTAATTGAGTGTTGAACTTGCATTGTGGCCTATCCCCAGCTATCCTCGAGGCTTTTAGCTTCACCTTGAAATTCCCTTGTATTAGACAGTGGTCTGAAATGAAGTCTATCTGGTTTTCGGTGTTTCCATCCAGTGAAGTCGATATCGTCTTGTGTATATCCTTGTGTTTGAACACACTGCCACCAATCACAAAATCATTGAAGGCACAGAAGTCTGAGAAGAGTTCACCATTGTCGTTCATTTCACCGAGGGCCTCACGACCCATGGTGAGTTCTCTTCCTGTGTTGCCTCGTCCCAGCTTCGCATTCATGTTGCCAATCAGGATTTTGATATCGCCATTTGGGACGTTGTCCATTATTGCTTGTAGTTGTCTGTAGAACGCCTCCTTCTTCTCTTGTTCTGAGACGTTTGTAGGCGCATAGCATTGAATGACTGTAACTTTCCTTCCTTTTGAGTAGAACCTGGCTGTCATTATCCTGGAGGAGATTGGTTCCCACTGCATGAGAGCTTTGGTTGCTGTTGGTGACATCATGATGGCCACTCACTTGGTGTGCTCATGGTTGTCCTCTAGGTGGCCGGAAAAGATTACTGTCTCTCTAGTCGGTAGTTGGCACCTTCCGGTTCCGTTCCATCTGCTCTCGCAGATTCCCAACACTTCTATTCTGTACCTTCTCATTTCAGCGGCTATCTGGGCAGCCTTTCCAGTTTCGTTCATTGTACGAACATTCCAGGTACCCATCCTTACCTTTGCTTCCATCGAAAGAAGGCACATCGGCTGACTGGCTTCCCGAAGGCTTTCACCAGCCTGCGTCATTTCACTTCCTTGACTCCAGCGAAAAGTAAGGCTATTGTTTATGTTTTTAGAATTTATAATATATTTATTCGTTGAAGTTTCTGTAGCGATTTGGTTGTTTTACAGGGGTGGGTTGCTAGCACTACGCCCCAACCCTCCCTCTTTACCCGGGCTTTGGACCGGCGAAAAAACTAGTAAGCTAGTAGC